CCAATAATTGTTGATATCATACTCAGCCTTGTCCAATAATTGTTCATGTCATGCTCAGCTTTTACCAATGATTGTTCATATTATACGCAGCCTTGTCCAATAATTGTTCATATCATACTCAGCCTTGTCCAATAATTGTTRATATCATACTCAGCTGTAACCAATAATTGCTCATATCATACTCAACCTGTAATATTATTCATATAATTTGTCAATAATGGTCATGATTTGAAAATATTTTAGGGTTGTGCAGCGTTATATGTCGATAAAAAACACCAATCTAAAATACACAGTTTAGCTCCGTCAGGTGGGTTTGGTAAGGGCTTTAATGCAGAATTCATGTTTAAAGGTAAGTTATATCGATGTTGGTCAAATGAGTGTTTTTATAAGCTTAAATCAATTCATTTTCAACCAGGCTTGAAAGACTATTCACCGTTTCTTGCTCTTCATACAGGTAAGTAGGGACATCAGTTTTTTAGGTGAAAAGGAATCGAAAAGAAGAATGAGAAAGTGCCATTGTAAAAAAACGCTTGAAATTCCATATCAAAATCGTTTTTCTTGTCATTTGAAGTACKAAGAATTTAGATAAACAGCTTACAATGTTTCTAACTTTTCCACAGCGCTCGACTTCTGGTTAGCGCTTGGGCCAAGTAACATCCGTGCATACATCACGGAGCTTGCGCACAATGCAGGTACAATGCTAGCTGACAGATGGGAAACTGATACATTGTTCCCAATCTCCATGTACGGTCCAATGGTACTAATCCGCCTACCCGACAGGCTTTGGAATCATTCTGGTACCACCATTGCAACGAAACCTATTGCTGACCATATACAGGACTTGCTACACTACGATTATGGGATAGAAGTTCCAGTTAAGCCAATCAAAGGCCGTCTCTATGTACGCATTAGTGCGCATGTGTACAATCACATGAGGGACTATCACGTGCTTGCTGACGCTGTATGTCTATTGGTTGAGAAAGTAGACATTGGCAATGATACAAGTTAGGAAACAGAAGAAGAAAAAAGAGTGGATCGCGCTTTCTCCTTTGGCGCTGTAGGGAAGCACTGAACTCTTTTGGAGTCTTCCTCAAATTCCCATGAAAGTTTCTGCNGGTGGGGGGGGCTATGTTGGATACGTACAAATGGTTTTTCACAGGATCCTCGCATGCACGCTTTGAATGCGCTCGCTCTCAAAGAATGTCATCTTACTGCTAAAACATTCATTAATTATATACATGTATGTGAAAAAGCATGCCAGTTTGGAAAGAGCTACAAATACGTTGCGTTTTAATGATGCCAACACAAGTTTCATACTCCACGTTCGTCGTCTTTTTTGCCCTCAGGCCAATTAAGGGTATACATAGTATAATTTTGTAAGATGCATACACCCCCCTGTTTGCCTATCACAATGGGAARGGCTATAAATACAGCGAAAGGAAGCTAGTGGGTATCACTCGTACAAAGTATCGATCTCAACAACATGAAGTCCGCCATTGGTCTCGTTTTACTGTTCGTGGCTCACATCTATGCCGAGGAGTATGCCATGGATGACCAGGCTACCTCTGATCGTCATCCTTATGTGGTAAGATAGAGCAGAGTCACTTGAACCATGAAATAGAAACTAAATATTTAGTAACTAATAGGCACTATTTAGACACTATCACTGAACCAGAACAGTACAAAGAGATTACTTTGATTGTTATAGTGTTCTCTTGGGTATTGCTTATTGGATCAAATAAAGTGTTCTGGTTCAGTGCTAATGACTATTAGGAACTAAAAATAGTGCCTATTAGTTAGTACTTTTTAGTTTTTATTTCATGGTTCATGTGACTCTGCTCTATACATTAAAAATATATATAAAAAAAACATTGTTCCTTTACACGGTGATATTTGTATGGGACAACTTGCTTTGTCAACTTTTCGCGCGAACCTCGGTCGTCAACTTTTTGCGCGCTGCGATTTAAAATCATTTTTCTATTCCCACAGCAATGTAAGATTGACTTGTACGACTGCATTCGACTTGACAAGAAGGYAAATAAAGAATGCCTGGTTGACTACAAGAACTGTATGGCTGTCTTGGTACCCAGCGTTCCTCCCACCATCGTAAGTATATGACCCAATATTCTGTGCGTTTACGGGCTTTTTCAATAATTTTTATTTATACAAGAATTAGAAATCAAGCCCTCCTCTGACTCTATCGAGCCAGAGGAAGAAAGGTGGTCAGTYCGAAAACAAATTAAACTGTTTTCGTTCAATCCAGGCAGTTAAATCTAGGCAGTTAACTGCATGGATTGTGTATGATTTGATGTTAAGAATTTCTGGTGAAATTCGTGCTATACTGTTTTGTTCGCAGACRAAGTGCAACAAGGAATTGAAAACCTGCCTTGCTGCAAGCAGTGGTATTTGGGCTAAAGCCAAATGCTTTGCAAGCTACGGRAAATGCTTGATTCCTACTGAACACCCATATTTTGTAAGTATAACTTACTTTTGTTGGATAAAAAGTAGTCTTGTAAGACATGTTTCTCTGATTTATTACGAACTGTGTATATTTTCATTCAATATAAGAAATGTAAAATCGACCTCGGAACATGCTTGAAAGATGGAACCAAAGGCAAGATAGAATGCATGAGAGACTACAAAAACTGCATGGCACAACTTCTCCCCACTGTACCCCCCTACGTTGTAAGTTTGAGAAACGTTTGAGCTCTACTCGTATTACTTCAGAAGTAACCATAGTATGCGAAGTATTATTGTGGTTATTTTACTATTTTTTTTAGTTCCTGAGATTTTTTTTGATAATTTTACTGATTTTATTGTTAGGCCGCCTGCAACGAACAATTCTCAACCTGCCTATCTATTGCTGGAGACTTCTTGGAAGTCAGTCAATGTTCCGTAGACTATGGAAAATGCATTAAAAAAGGAGGCAGCTCATAATACCAACAAAAATGTTCTAATGTTTACATTAAATAACGTTAAAAATAATAAATTGTATTGTATTCAATTAAAATCCGATTGTTGTCTTCTTCTGTTAACTAGTTGTTGAACCTATACTCCAAGTTAGGATCGAGTCATTATTTAGTCCTCTATTATGACTTATTTAGCTGAAGTTCCTCTTAGAACTAAGAAATTCAATAAARTAGAACAAATAAGGGCAGTCCTTGGTCGTGGCGCCGAATATCGTACCTCCTTCCTGTACACAGACGTCCTTTGTTCGCATCATAAATCCAATCTCTCTGTTAACCAATAACTTGTCACCACAACTACACAGAAACAKAAGATTTAAGGTCGATATGTATTTACCTTTGTTTATTTAAGGGACCTTTACTAACCGACATGCAATGCAGTCGTGATGGTACAATAAACTGGAAGTGCAATGCGGAAATAAATTTTTGGGATTTTCTTAGCGAAAATAATAAAACTAAAACGTTTGTCATCATCATGCTTTGCTGTACACAATGTCARCGCGCGCAAATTGCCTTCTCTATTTAATTCCGTGCGTGAAGAATGAGCGAATATATCAACAAATAAGGGTTTGAAAAAAGATGGAAATCACTGAATAAATGGAAAAGAGGATGAATAAGGAAATAAATGAGAAATTAAGTGGATGAAAGAACAATGAATTTGCAATAATACCTTACGAAAATCCCATACACTCCAAATTCACTYGACACTTCAGCTGATATGGGTTCATCTTGATCTGGTAACACAAAGAAGTTTCTCGTGGAAGGACTCTGGATTTTATCCATTAATATATATTGTGAGCGTTCAGCAGAGGTTTGCGATTCCAGGGTAGTTTTAATCGATTCACCAAATATGTTGTTCCCTTGAAAAGAAATGAAAACGAAAAGTAATAAATYAGACAGTGTCATGGCTTGGATCAAAATTTATTAAATAAAATGAGAATGTTGATAATAAATCCATGGAACACTTTCTAAGAAAAAAGCACTCTGTTAGAAATCATTTCATGATAGGAGATGAGTAAATCCGTGAAACATTTTGAAAGAGAAAAGAACTCTGTTAGAAAAATCCGTGAAACTATATCCATACCTCCTCCTTCTCGCTGAGGTTTGAGMACGAATCTGTTCGGTTCTTTCAAGGCCATTTGAAACGTTGCTTCACCGTCGGGACCCTAAGCAGATTAAATTGAATATGTAAGGACGGGATAAACATAACAAAAGAGCTATCCCTATATAGGGACGAGAGCGGGCCTGGTTTGTACCTGGTCAAGAGTATATAAGCCAGTAAACGTATTACGAATGCGTTTAACAGCAGCTGGCTCAGAGATAAATCTATAAAGAAGCACAGAAAATTTTTATATGGTCGCTAGAAGAATTAAACAGATTTCATCTTAAAGTATGAAAATAAAAATATAAAATATCACCGCWCGTCGACCATGTAATATCTTATATTTTATGAAATTTGTATTTTTGGAAGTTACCTCTCWACGACGCCAGGTTTTGCGAATACTTGCTGCATTTTTTTGGTTCCAACCAGTTGCAATACAGCCGTGGGACATTTGATAGCGAGAGATCGTTCAATCATTAGGCGAATATCCCATTCCTATTGACATACAAATAGGGAATTAAAAACTTTTGCTGACAAAACATGACGGCACAAAATAGTCGCCATCAATCAATCACTTTAAATCAATCAATCAATCACTCACTTACGCACTCTCTCACTCACACAATCACTCACCCAACCAAACAACCAACCTTACCCATCAACCAAACAGTTAATACCAATCAATTAAACCAACCAACCAACCCATCAATCAAACAACCAAACAGTTAATACCAACCAACCAACCAACCAACCCATTTGTATTTATCTCTTTTTTTAGCTTGTAATATGCCGTAATTCAGCCCTTTGGCTGCAAAGGTATTTTTAATAAAACTATCTATCTATCTATCTATCAACCAAACAAACAAACAGTTAATATTTGAGATATATCTCACGGTTTGAGTAGGATAGCAGTTTGGCGAGTAGCCCGAGCGATAGTACGCCACAGCAACTTCATAACCGTCCCTGAAAATAATTATAATAATAATAAAATTAAATAATTTTCTAGTGGCGTGTTTATTTTTCATAATACCCAAGGGCTGATAGATGATCAAAGACTTTATATTAAACAATGGCTACATACACTATAAGTTTGTTGTTCTGTAGTGACGCACATTTCGATAGAGCAGTGAGCGATCTTCTTATCATTTGAATACGAGGTCGTCTACATTGAAAGAAASGTTAAAGGAGGTTATGTGCACAGGCAAGGAAAACAGAATTACTAMCTTTAGAAGAATTATTGACTTACCTATGGTGCAGGTAGTGATCCTTTGGTTTCTGATCGAAACGATATCTATCGGTTTCGCTTACAATCATAAGTATTACAGCGCTGAAAAATCAATCAATCAACTAGTCAATCACTCAATCAATCAATCAATCAACTAGTCAATCAATCAATCAATCAATCAACTAGTCAATCAGTCAATCAATCAACTAGTCAATCAATCAATCAACTAGTCAATCAGTTAATCAATCAATCAATCAATTATCAATCAACCAATCGAACTAGTCAATCAGTTAATCAACTAGCCAATCAATCAATCAATCAATCAATCAATCAATCATACCATCAATCATTGGATCAATCAATCAGTCATTCAATTATTGTAAAGCAAGCGATTCAAATCTTAATTCACCTTTCGCATCCATAGAGCTGCCATGCTGTAGCAAGACCCTCTGCAATCCCAGTCATTGGCTTGTTAATGGGCAACTTATTTAGAAAAAAAGAGAGAMATATGATCACGAAGGGAAAACCACAAGACCACATTTACAATTGATTCACATTAGCCTTAGTCGAAATGAAATTCTTGATTTTAAAGTGTCCTTTCATGTGTGCAGTGCAAACAATCGGCATCCAGCGCAYAACTTGAGGTAACGAATGCAAATWAAAAMACTACAAGTTTATTGGTGGCACGGATCTGATTTAATGTTCCCTCTTTAAGCAAAGGCTATTTCTTGGCGTGAATGATTAGCTTGAATGCGATATTTTTATTACTCACTTGTGGTGAGCCAACCTGAACATCATATCCAACTTTTCCAAGTATATAACTAAGAAAAAATATAAGCAAACAAAGTCAATAGATCAATCATTAAGTCAATCAATCAATCATTTAGTCAATCAATCAATCAATCAATCAATCAATCAATCAATCCATCAATCAATCAATCATTCAATCAATCAATTAATCATTCATCCAATCCGCAATAATTCAATCATTCAATCAATCATTCATCCGATAAATCATTCACAGTCAATCAATCAGTCATTCCGTCAACCAATTTTTCAACCGTAAAATCAATCAAACGAGCCAATTAATCCATATGTTATTCAATCGATCAATCATCCAATCAATCGCCCTCCGAAGTTTTTAGATTTAAGAAATCCGCCATCTTGATCCTTTTTCCCGTACTTCGCGAAGACAATCAGGTACATTATTACTGACTGGAAAACGATCGTCGTACCTTCCATATTCTGACAGAACCTCTGACATACATGCCGCTCCTGATGCAATTGTATTCAATTCAACTTGTGAGAGTTTCACTGCTTTGTTATTATTCAAAAAGTCTTCTAATTTAGTCGTGGRTAGTGTTGTGTCAATCATATAGTCAGAGCGAAGGGATCCCAGAGATATTGTCTGAAATGATAAAAGAAAAYGATGCGCCAAACAAATGAGTACTAGTRTACAAAATGTCTTGAGCCGGGCACCGAACAAAAAACTACAGCAGCAGAAACATGATTCGATGAATATCCGACTTGCAAATTTTGCCTCAGTAGTCACACAGAAAGGAATCAAGACGAGGCGCCGTGCAAAAGCTCAGCCATTCGTGAAAACACAATAGTTTTTCACAATTGACTACCTGAGCTTTATGCATGGCGCCTCGTTTGCATTCTTTTGTGTTTGACTATTGAGGCGAAATTCGCAAATCGGCTATTAAACTTGAAGTGAATTATGGGACAAAAGAATTTTTCGTTTTCACTATACGTACTGACGTCACAGCGGCCATATCGGAGGAGCTCAAACATTAGCATCTATTGTTCATTCCTCAAACATGGCCGTCGATTTTTTATCTTTTGATTTTCATAGGAATTGTTGAAAACGATCAATTCTTTAAACTCTAGATATACGATTAGTACRACTTCGGTCCCAGTTTTTTTGGAGCCTGCAAAGCTTACCTGTGCTACTCCTTCCCTCCTAGTCGTGTCGTATATCTCGTAGATCTGACGAGTAAAATCATCTACTTGAATTGTGCTTTAATCGTAAAGAAAAGAACATGTCARATTATTCAATTAGCAAGACCCATGCATGGTTCCTTTCTGTCAATACTGACTCCAGTTTCAAAATCATATTGTAATGCAAATACTCTCTGTAAAAATAAGACAATATACTATCTATCAGATTTATGCTTGATTGAAGCTAAGAGAAGAGAATTAGAAACTTGAGTATTGACATTCGCCATTTTATCCTCCAACTTTTTTTACAAAATTGGTATATCTTATCGGTCAAAATTTTTGCGCAAATGACTGTATGTGGAATCGCTCTACTGTGAAAAGGCCTAATGAAGAGTTCATATAAATATTTATWGTGTCACTTGGCCAGAACCGTAAGGTCGTCTGTTCTGCGTTTGCGACAGTGAAAACGTCTTGAATAAGGTTTTATACGTACTAAGCGGCACAGTCAAGGAACCTCTCTTAGTATTTATCATCGCCACTGAAAACACTTTGAATTGAAAATACAGATTACCACTCCAGTCTTTATCATAACTATGAAAAATCCGCTGCGAACGCATCGTGCATGAAATGTAGATACCAAAAAAAATCGTCATATTTTAGCTGTTAGAAACTGTTTTGATTTTCTTTCACGTAAAAGTGAGTTTATACTCTTGTGAACACTCTAAAATGTAGTATTAACATAAATCGTTTTCCCAGGTAGGGTTATGGTCGCACAGCAAGAGCTAATTTTTGTCCTTCACTTAATGTAAAACCGATGCACGAAAACCTTTTCAAACGTTCCTGGCATTTGTCCATAAATCAAACATTAAAATATCTTGAAATATAGAATAATTAAGATATTTCTTTCTTTATCGCATAGTATTGGGAATGGTATTATACGAATTCAATTTATACTGGTTGAAAGCAACGTAGACACTTGTTCGCGCATGAGTTAACTTACCTCCTCGCCTTACAACAAAACTACAACTATCTTACCTTTCTAAGGTCTCCTTGATGAACGCATCGTCCAGACAAACCCTGTGCACCAGTAAATTGAAATCTTTCTGGACTTCCTTGGCTTGGAAACACGTCTTCCTAGGGAAAGGTGATGGAAAAAGCATAAAAGGAAAGTGCTCGTTAGCCTTTGGATCACTTTTCGATATTACGATCCCTCCTTTCGCTAAAATATAATCCTTCGCGTCTTGCACTAGATCTTGCACTTGATCTGTTGTCATTCGATCCAAGATCTCTTTATAATTAAAACTGGGTTCCATATTAGATTTCGCACCAAGTTTTCATTGACTTCTCATCCAAGCCGAACACTTTCGATTTCCAAGTGTTTTTGTTTTTTTTTTACAGGCATTTAGGACAAAGGAAGACCAATAATGCGATAGAGATATGCAAATCCTAACGTTTTGATTTTGAATAGGCATTCAGAGTTTAATTGCCCTCTTTCATTATGACGTCACAGAGAGGYCAAAGACTAAAGACACTCCAAGAAATTGTGTAAAACGTTTTTTTGGCAGGAATTTTGCATCGTTTTAATTTTAAACACATTCAAACTTAATTTTTGGAATAAACACAAAACTGTTCTTCAGAAAAAAAAGTTTCAATCTTTGTAAACCAATTTTTTTTTTATTTTGAAAAGGTTTCAAAAATGATTTTGAATTGATTTTTGCCAGTTTCTGAATTTCGGATGCTCTTAGAGCGTCTACATTTTGTTTTTAAAGTGCTTTCCTTATGTCAAGTAAAAGGCAGCTGTCTTTGACTGTCCCACAAACAATGACCTCGTCACCCTTATCTACTTGTAAGCCTGACTCGAGTATATAGACTGCCTGTTTCCAATGGGAACCGACATATCCACAGGAATATGTCGACAAAGTGGTTTTCTTATCCAGTCCTAGCATAAACCAATAYGGCAAGGCATGTATTACACCAGAGCGTGAAATCTTTACTCGCACCTGACAAAACKAGAAAGAAATATTARGAMAGAAGAACTGGTTGATACCGATGAWTGTGATGGCATGATGATGATSATGATYACAGTTGTTAGTACAGTCTCATCACATGACTCCAACAATAATCTAATGATGATAATATTAATTTGATAATATCAATAAATTATACAAATACTGATATCAATAGTCAGTATTTAGCTGTGATGTATTTTTCATTAAAATATCTATCAAATATCAAATATATCAATGACAATAGCAATGCTTGTCACATGAAAGCAGCTTCATCTGGGAGGCAAAAGAGTTAGAAACCGTTGTCTTTCCCCCCAGATAAAACTGCATACCTGTTTTTTTACTATCATACCTCWAGAGAACAGTCAAGCAAGGACAGTAAGCCATCAACAGTGTCACACATAAAATCCATTCCAAACAGTTTGAARTCTTCACTTAGTGGTTGGAAATTCAATGTTGWCATGTCAACATTGATTTGCGTAGAGACCTTGAATTCATTCATGAAAGAACCAATCTCCAGTCCCAGGGTATTATCATTGCTCTGGACTTTGCTCAYTGAAATCAAATCATTASAWTCAATGCACATTGCAAGTGCTTGAAGTTCTTGAGGTATTACAACACCCAGGTTTTTATTAAGCAGGCAACCTTTTGCAAAAACAATATCTTCAATTCCTTGGTGCTTTATAATACCAGAAGGTTCAATCAAGTCTGTGACAAAAATATCCCAATGACTACCCCCACGGGCAATGTCCTCTAGCTTCACAGGCCCATAATGCAATGGGCTTGAGATTCCATTGGCTTGCTTTAGTTGCTCTATTATATCTGTAGGTATASCAGGGTTTGTTATAAAAGTGCTTGTTTTGTTACACTTAGCTGCAACCAAAGAAAACACAGGGAGACCAAGTGTGTGTTCAATAACCTCACAGCACTTACTGCGACTTGCTTTMATTGATGCTTTGATGACTGTACTGTAAGTGTTGATATAATTTACATCATTAGCTCTAGCCATGTAAGAATGAGGGACAACAGCATGGCAATCTTTCATTCTCGCACTGAAGACATTCTCAACAGAACAAGATGTTATACCAGTACATGATGGTACTAAATTCTTTGCTGAACAATCATTATGTCCCAGCTCTGTGACAACATTTCCTTGTTTACCCAGAGAAACTAAGTTTTCATCTAAAGGATTTGAAGAATCAACACCKGYTTCACAAAGSATTGGTTGAGTACTCAAATTCACTTTGTTTTCACTGTCTTCACCATCCATTGAATTATATAGAATCTTCGCACACTGAACTTTCAAGAATTCCTTATCAACAATTCCATTTACGACAAGAAWATCACCCTTACTGACCAGCATGAGAACTTCATTATCTACTACTTGTAGTTTAGCATTTGTTACATGGTGGGGAAACACAGGAAATACTGCTTGTTCCCAGCACAGCGACCTGGAAAAAAGTCAAGTACCACAGTTAGAAACTTTAGTTGGAAAGGGAGATTTCTACCTTAAATTTTACAGAGATAGGGTACATGCCACATAAGAGTGAAACAATTCTTAAAAAAATTAGCGCCTGATAAGATTTAGTTATCAACTAACTAAGAATTGAGTGAAACATAACCAAAGACAATTTCCATTTTGGAATTGTGTCCATGCCCCAGTGAATTCTTAGTTAGTTGATAACTAAATCTTATTAGTTGTTGATTGTTAAGAATTGTTTCACGCTTTTTTGGTGTGTACTCTACCAGCCTCTAGAAGACTTTGTATAATTTGGGAACAGAGATGCAAACAAATATCAGAGATTCATGATGTGTAAGTTAGTTGTTTTGAGTTTGAATATAATGAGTTGTAAGAGACAGCCAATTCAAAACACCGCTGTGTGAACCAGCAGATAAAGTCAGACTCATGACTACCGTAGCCTCCTCTGCAGTCCATCCTAAGAATACCACAGGGACTCCAAAAGGGCAAACAATGAAGTGTTGTCAGCAGAGGAGGTCATCATTACCAGAACAAGTTACCAATTGGAATGACATGATTGGTTGAGAAATCAATGGACAAGGAATATATGCACAATAAAAAAACTTGTTACCAGTCAAACGACCTGAAGCGTGAACACATAGAAGACATATTGTTATGGTATTAATCCAATCATCATTCGAGATTTCAAACTATTTTTGTTTCGAATATTGAAAAGTTTGTATCAAGGATGAATGTTCGAATCAAATAATCAWATCAATATTCCAAGAATGAATCCATTATTTATGTCTATGTGTTCACGCTTCAGGAAGTTTGACTGTAATAGAAGCTCATTGCTAATGGTTGGATCAATAAAATACAGTCAACTCTCGCCTTATGGACAACTTGATATTAAGGACAGGAAATATGGAATTCCTGGTGAAAAATACAGAGAAATGACTGAAAGTAACTCCCGAATCTCACTACTTCGGACACTACAGTACGGTCCCGAGGGTGTCTGTTTTAGTGAGAGTTGACTGTAGCAGGTTTCACTGGGAACTGGATTATTTTATCATCATACCTGTKATTAGGACTTGTGCTGATATGGATGTCGTCATCAAGATGCAGGTCAAACCACACAGCAATAGCGTCTACACTACCATTCTCTTTTACTGGTAACTCAAAGTTTAGCTTTCTAGTGCTGTCAAGACCACCAGGATCACAGAAATCATACTTGGTGATTACAAACGGATCAGACAGTTGAGTGTAACCATGATGCAACAGGTTTAAAGACTCTGTAGTATAAGGTTCTATGGGATCCATAATGAGATCAAAGTGATCTCCACAGGGATCAAGTTGATCCCCTCCAATGATATTTACTGAGCTCAGACTGATTTCTGATGTAATAACTTTAGATCGGCATTGAGTTCTAATATCRGGTGCAGTTACTACCATACCATATAYAGTTGCACCACAAGGAATTACTCTACTGGTTGGTAYCTTGCGGCATTCTGAAWAGTCCTTACTGGAATATAGTAACTGGTCCCAGGCATGAGACATGGTCTTGAGTATTCCTTCACCAAGAAGACCACAGTCCATTGTCTCCGTAACAACAAGATTCACCCTGCTTGGAATATCTTTGCCAACAATTATTTCTGTAGATTTTTTGTTTACTAGGAGTACATRGTCCCTCATGTTGTTGGCTGTGAGAACGTCCTGTGAGACTTCAAACATTGTTTTTGATACCTCACAAGCATAAACCTTAAAGAAAAGACAATGAGAAATAGAAGTTAGCCACTTTTTAAAGGAAAGCTGTACATTTCCAGTAATTAGGGTATGAAAAGTACCTTCTCAGCTCCTGCTTGTACAGCAAACATGCTTAGAATCCCACTTCCACTTCCAATGTCTAATACTGTATCATATCCCATGGCAATAGCTTTAGATATTGCATTCTTATATGCTGTATTGCGCTCCTTGTCGTTAAGCATCCTAAAATGCCATCGTTCTACTAATGTATTCGAGATGTTTTCAAGGCTCTGTTTAGCATGGATGTTGTCAGGGTTAWGCTTTAGAGCTTGTCTAAAGAATGAAGCTGATTCATCTGGAAATCCTATAAAGAAATATTATAACAATTATATTTGATGTCAACCTACTGTAGTCCAGTCACTTAGACCATCCTTGGGCTTCCTGTGTAGCCAAAAGGACACAGGATGCCCAATGACGCACTTAGTTAATTTGATTACTTTTGCGGGCGAAGTGTACCAATGGAAGCATGTGACTGAGAATGTGAATCTAATTTCTTACATCATTATGGTGAAAATTTGTGGTATTTTTACCGAGTCGAAAGAGTGTTCCACCAATATTATTCAGAAGTGCTTCATTATCAGGAAACAGAATAGCAGCCTCTTGGAAGCACGCGACAATCTTCCTGTATTCAGCACGCTGCTCTAGAAGTTCACTGCACTTGGATAACGCCAGCATAAACTCATCTTCAACCTCAGTCTTCAAAGATGGTTGAATCTTGCACAAACATACAAAATGCGCCAAAGCTTCATCATATCTTGAAGATACAAGACATTTACGTGCGATTCGTAGGTATTTTGCTAACTGAGGAGTTTGCTTTTCGGCCATTTTTTCTGAATTTCATTGCAAAAACTCTTTGACAGATTTTGCCGCCATTTTGAAACATCTTTGAGCCGGCAATTGATTAAGGCAGCGGTATAGGCACCGGAGCGAGTCCAATCGTTATAGCAACAGTAGCATGTAAACAATCCCGGTCACATAGATCAAGCGTTCGAAAAGTTCAGACTTTCTAAGTTTTTGTGAATTTTTCAAGATGTTTTCTCAATCTAACCCGCTGAATGTGATTCCAGACTATGTGGAGAGGAAAGGYTCGTTATTTTTGCGTTCAGATCACATGGATTACAGCCGCCCAACTCTTGTTTCAAACTGGTAAAAAAACGTGAACTATCATATTTATCTTTTTACATAACTGTATCATATGTTTGTTGGACTCCCAGCTGGTATCGTGCCCGTGTAACTTTAAATGCAATCATCGGAAACTCTGCATGCTGTTACATCTTGTTATCRTGAGTTTATTATTCAGTTCAGCAAAGCTACACTTCAAAAGCGTTTATATTTTGTATTGCTTCAGTAAGTGTATTTTTGCATTGAAAACCGAGCTTTAATACTTTMTTTTTCTTTACAAGGCATCAGGCAAGAGAAGCTGAACCCAAGGACTATGATCTAAGGGACTACGATCCAGAAAAAAGAAAGCTTCACAATTCTACATACAATCGAATAGGSAATGTGACAACAGGGGTAAGTAAAAGCACAGGAATACCAAGTCAACTTCTTTGCCAATGATACATAAGTATTGCTCTCACACAGCTTTTATCACATTTCAGTCCTTACCTAGCACAACAAGCCATGACCAAATGGAGCAGTCTGTWTTATTAAAGAAAGATTTTGAAGAAAGAGAAACTAGACTACCATTGGTCAATATGTCAACTCTTAATGATGTTAACTTTTCAACTAAAAGGTATGTATAAAAAAGATGTTGGTGGTCAACATGAAACACTGTTTACTCCACTTCCTCTGATTTCATTTACTAACATTTATTATCTGTTGTATTTTTAGAGACACAGGTGCACCTGAAACTGGTTTTGGAAGTGTTTTACCAAGGCATCACCCTGAACATAGCAAGAGGTAGGTCCAGTAATTTTTTAGTTAATGTTCACTGGCAAAATATAAATACAATGTATTTGACTGTGATTGTGTGATTAGGAAAGCATTTGCCCAGGGCCTTCAGTAGGGGGGTCAACACACTAGCTATAATCAGTTTACAGCTTTGACWTTCAGTAAAGGAAATTTTTGATTCTGATTTTGTAAACATGTTTTCTCAAAACTGATTTAACAAATTTAGGCATTGTCTGATAAGAAAGAGGGGTTCTTCAAACCCTGGAGTCCTCACCTGAGCACATATGGACTCTGGTGTTGCAACTTGTGAACAGGAGAGAGCATTTATAAACAGTTTATTGAAGTTATATTTTTGTGGTTTCTACATCTAGATATCTCGATACAACATATGTAGTGGATTACATGGCGCCATATCCGTACAAACAAGCAAAGGTACAATGATAATTGTGTTTACTTACTTGTGTTCTGATTATACTGTTTTTCACTGTTATGGTCATAAATCTCCTTTTGATAATTGTCATTATGTGTTACCCAACGTTGTTGAAATAGGTGCTGTTTTACACTATATTATAGTTCAAAATACTCCATTTAAGCTTGTACTCTGACTGTTAGACACCACCACCAGAACAAGATACGTCACCAATGTGGAAGAAATGCCACTCTCAATTTACAGACATTGACGACTACCGTCGCCATGGACACAACACCTGGATGAACGAATCAGGCATGTATGCCAATACTGACATGAAAAGAGAATTTATCAAGCCAACTGACACCATCCCAGAGAGACTTTCATGAAAATTATGCAAATGATAATTATTTTTAAAGATATTTTAAAGTGCTATTAATTTATGTCAATGAGAAATTGTTAATTTTGTTCAATAAAATGATGAATGTGTATATGAACACAATGAAAAATTAAAGTGATCTGAATCAGTATTGTAATTGTCAAGGAGCATTTTATCCTTAGGAATCAAGGTTCCATTTTTGATCCTTTAGGATCTACTCCCCTTATCACCAATTTTAGGTTTGGGAACCCTGTCCCKTCTCTCATGGTTCCCAAAACAAAACATGCAAGGATGAGACCACTTTCAATGATWTAYAAGTTGATGCWGCTGATTTTGTACAACATTCAATGGCATGGATCATGGCTGGGTGTAACACATGGTTCTCATGATGTCACACTTATACAGGGAACTCTGGGAGTTTTAGTAAAGGTTGGTATTGAACTGAAAGRAGATTGTGGTTACAGCAGAGAACAGTTTCAGCATGAAAGTACTCTAGTTTGTTCATGTTCTGMGTTGGTTCAATAGTTGTATGCTGTGTCAGTTTCTGTSRCAGAACTTTTGTTAAACAATATTTGAAGGYCAATTTGCAAAGTGACAATAACCACATACAATAATAATTGATTTATTATATATTCATCCTTACTGCAAACATTAACAATCATCAGAGAAACCTTTCAAATATATATTAAGTAGTGGTGATAAATGGATGCATCATAGGATAATACAAGAATATACGATATGATTTGTGGTCCCCTGAGTAGCCATGTTTAGCTTGTAGCTRCCCAAGCCTTTGAAAACAGCTACAAAATGAGATAAGTTTGATAAACAATATACCCAGCGATAACAAACACTAAAAGTGTGCAAAATAAACAGTACAAAATTAGAGCCAACCCTAAAATCATTTCATTTGGTTTAATTAGCACTATTTACCAGCAAATCCTCTTYTACGTTGCACATGTTTACTGTTTGTCCTGTATGATATGAAAATCTTCAAAGAAAAATAACTTAATTATACAGCAACAATACAAATTACCTAATGTTGAGTATATATCACTTTAGTATTCCCTAGTAAATTAGTAATTAYTATAAACATACTATAATGGTCTATCACTCATACTGCGCTGTGATTGGCTGCTCTACTAATGGTCTAATTTGTGATAGACCACTCGCGGGAAAATCAAAATGGCYGCATCTCATTWATAAATTATTTTAAGGACATTTCAATTTGTTTTCATTATTTGACCYATTAGTATGTTTATATTAAAACAATTAGACCTCTCGGCCTCGTGGACTACGAGCTAATWGCCCATTRGGCCTCACGGACTCGGCCTCATGGGCTATTAGCTAGTAGTCCACTCGACCTCGAGGTCTAATTGTTAAATAGCTTCACACACCAAATCAAACAATTGCAGCAGCAATTTTGCAAGCATTGCCAGAGTAAAGGTAGCTCCACAATTGACTAAATAATAATAATAGATCAAATACAACTATGAGTATTTGATCAGCAATAGTTGTATTTGATCAGCATATAAAAATAACAAACAACTGTGGAAAAATAGTGGCATAACAGAGTTTTTGAACCAGTTAGGAAGATTTTTGATAACCTAAGTATATAATTCAATATTGGAATTTGATCTCTCTTCTATAATAGGTTAAATGAGTCACTATCACTGTAGATAATATTTCTACACTCTTTTACTATCCAAACCTTTAGTGTGTTTTTCAAAAACAAAAGCAGAGATGTTAAACATGTTTAGCGTGACAAGTTAGACAGTTAAGCGCACAGAGAAATTCAAGTCTTCCTAATGGAACACCAGTTTGTTGAGATACAGTTTGACACTCCTGCCTGTCTGTCACAAAACTTGTCATCTCCAAAGATATTAATGTCTGCTTTTRACTTTGAAAAACAAACTCTACTGGRTTTGATACTATAATGAAATTGAGAATTAAAAATCATAATAATTGAAAATGATAAACAAACATAATTTCACACCAATATATTTTAATATTTTTACCRGGCCATCAAGTGGAGATATCTTGAGACTTTTTTTAATGTTTTTCAAATACTACCAGTTCATATAGATGTAGGAAAATAATCAGACTTATCCAATCATACTCATATTCTGGTAAAAGTCTGCATAATTAGATCTGAGATTTGCTAATGTTGTGTTTGTACAAACTTTAGCTTTGGTGCAAATTAACTTCTAGAGAAATACAGCTACTGTTAGAGGATTAAGAACTGATTTATATCAAGAAACATTCATATTGACTAAAAGTATCCAAAATTTGTCTAATTTGCATACAATTCAGAGAAGGGTGAAATAGGGAAGGAAACGTGCAATAAAAGTTAACAAAGCTTTAACAAACATTGTCTTTGAAAGACACATGTCAGAGAACTAACATTGAGAGTAAATATTAATTTGCTTGCCAAACCCTAACCACACATAACACTTAGTATACACATGGTAATTCAACACATCCACAATAAAATAACATACATTTTTTTGAACTGGAAGCTTAGTAAAAAAGAAATGCTACTTGAATCTGCTGGTATAAGCTTACKAGTTGAACTAAATGATATTTCATTAGAAATCTAGTTACTATGGAAACAAATTATCATGAAACGAATTTGCTCCAATTAACAAAATTGRTCGGCAGTGAAATAAAGAGTTTCCAGTGGAATCCATTAGAATATAGCTTTTTTTGGAGTTCARTTATATCTTGTGTGAGAAAGCTATATGTAAATTAATGAAATATTAATGTTTGATGAGTCCCACTGGCCTTCAGGAAGCTTTTATTCTTATAGCTGGTATAATTGCAGTAGAATACAAAGAGCCAGTCAGTGCTCTTGTTATGAATAATGTACGGTTTAAGACAACCTGCTGAATTAGACAAAGCTGTGAGAATATAAAGTCCATATCTACATGTAAACAAGGGTTTAATACTAGCGTGTCAAAATCTAGACTAAAGTGCTGAAAGGGCCATGTATTTCATGCTCAGAAAAACATTTCGTAGACCATACAATTTGATGCCCAATAACTCACTTGAAAATTTTTGCTCCATTAAGTTTCATAAGAATGCAAAAGATGTGATCAAAGGTCAAACAAGCTATGTAATGAGCTTTTTTTTCCAAATACATGTTTCTTGCAATTCATTGGTCATGCAACATTGATTATAGCTTACAGCTTCTAAACTATATTAGACCAAGTAATTAACGCTTTTRCATACAGAACATTGCTGAACTGATACACTTGACATACTTCGACTTAATTACAAAACTATTTTAGTAACCTATGGCAATTAAGTTGCTTTTAATTTATCCTAGAGTCCTTTTGCAGTGGCTTAAAATATAAACGTAGTCTTATAGCAAAGAAAATTGTGAATTTTYTACGCCGAAATATAATTATTTTATAATGAATTTTAGATTATATCTGTGAGAGCGATTAATTACAAATGCTAAGCTTTTAGTTTAGAACATTTTTGGAGTTAAGGGACAATTTTAATGTCTTCAAAAGCTTCAAAAGTATTCAAAAAACAGACGCAATTATCCAAGGGAAATTTATCAATATTGTGTACACGTGTACATTTCAAGAAGTGTAACAAACTACTTTACAATTTTCACTCGATTGATCATCCATRTAATATAAATCATACCCTGCCTCATTGTTCACTATGTTCTTCTTCTTTTTCTTGRGCTTTTTCTTGTTCTCTCTCCTGTTTCCTGACTTCGCGTAAAATTTCGTTGATTCGCTTTTCGTTCATGCTTGCTGCTCTGCAAAAGAAATCTACAATGTCTTCGGTCGCGGGACATGTGGTATTGAATGCTGGATGAGCTCGACCTGACTGAAGATAGTCTTCAATGGCTTGCAAGCCCTCAAAGTCGCACTTTTTCACGTATGTACATGCGACGAAGAGATAATGGAGCTTTGGGAGCAGGTAACAATCTGGAATCATAGGCTTTGAGCCGCCGAGAAACTGACGCTCGCCATTTTCATTTCGTGGCATTTTCTCCGACAAGAGAAAACTGTTCACTTTCCGAAGTTCTGTAAGCAGATGTCCTTTGAGCGTTTCATCGCTTGCTGCATCTCTGTTTTTGATGAAGTAGATGAATTTTTGGTAAGCTGTGTTGCCCGCACCAACGTTTATGAAGGTGTTGATGTCTTTGCTTTCGACCTTGAGCGCTGGTGAGAAAGTCTTCTCGAACGCATCTTCAATCTCAGTTGGTTCGTCTTTGTCTACATACTTTCCGTCACACTCCAGGCAAACAGTCGGGAATTTCTTGTACGGAAAATCAAGATTAACATTCGTCTTCTTCTGAATATCTATAGGMACTACTTTGGCAGAAATTTCGAGGTCTTTCAAAGCCAACATCATCATCAATCGATGAGTTATTATATCGGCTCCAAGAGAGTTGCAGTCACGGGCTGAGGACTATAGAGAAACCAAAATAAGCTCACATTGCGAATAAATCAAGCTTAAACARCACTAAATAAAAACGCAAACCGTACCTTGACATAGATAACAAAATTATTATTGTCTTCTGCCATTTCGGAGGCTTCTGTAGCGAAATGTTTGTCCAAAAGAGCGTGGCAAAATGGTTGTGATCTTTACGGAGTGAGTTGTGCACTGCTCGAGTTACAAAGACGCACCCAAAGCCATGCGGATATTAGGAAGGGGGGAGGGGTCAGGAGTATTAGCGCGTGTCGGTGGAACAAATTGACAATATTGCTAATYGCTTGGACTTATAAATAATTGAGTCAGTTGATAGTGACACCATTAGTGCTAAAGAAATCTTCTTTGAAAACAATTTTATCTTATTTTTTTCTAATTTGGCTTGGTAGTCTTTTTTTAGCTCGAAAGACGTGAAAATTGTTGATATCAATCATATAAATGAATCTGAAGCAAAAAGGCATATAAAGAAAAGGTGATATTGCAAAAAGATTGAATATTTATGAAATGAAAATAAAAAAGTGGATGGAATTAAAATAAAATGATATGATGAGTTATATGACAAATATCTTCATTAAACGAATGCAAGGGATAAGGGCAGAAAATAAAAGAGAAAAAGAATGAGCGATTGAATTCAAATAGGAATGGAATAAACCAAATGCCCTAATAATAGGAAGACATTGTGAAAAAATGGGAGAAATAAAAAATAAAATAAGAAAGAAATGAGTAAAAGAAAGAAAGAAACAATAAATGGGAAACATCCTTGACAAAAAGGACCTTTAATTTTCCTTTTCTGATATGATTTACTTTGGTCAAGTCAATCTTAAAGCATCCAAACTTCTTTATACATACACTGACAARTGTTTACAATTCAGACCAATGCTAGTCATATAATAATCATTCTTTGCCAAAATTTGTTTCAATGACATGTAATATGATTCTTTGCCAAAAATAACCCCAATAATGCTCACGTATCTATGCATGAGAAAAACMTCTTTGACAATAAATAAAAAATAATCAATTTGCTAAAATCATTGAGAAACAACKGARGATAACATCTGGTTTGTGATTGGCCAATTCATAGGGTCGCCATAGTTTTCTGGTCTTGCTGTGACCCCMCCTACATGTACTTTGGTATRATTGCTGTCATCATATCTATGAATTGGTTTTGACATCCCAACGATGGACAAGAGTTGTAGTTCCATAGGGCCTAGTCTTGGAGAATCCTAAAAAGATGAATGAAAATTAGGGGGTAGTCTCCTCTTGCAGACGTTACGAGGTTTGTTCCCAGGTCACTCTTAATGGGAGAGGACTGGGAATGAACCTCCTAACAGCTGCTAGAGGAGAAAAATTAGGGGGGAGGGGGGCACTCCTATGAAAATTGCKGAATTTTTTAAATTTTAAACCTATCTGTAGCTATATATTAATCACTTGACAACATGTTTTTAATATTTTTCTTAATSCTTAAAATTAACATTTTCAAATATTTTGGCATATATTTTTACAGTTGATGCTTCACTAACACATCCTATTGCATGTTGTCAAAATGTCTCCAGTTATGGATCATGGCTGAAATCAAATTGTCATTGTCATCAATCACTCACCTCAAAATTGTCTTCTCCTGGCAAAAAGAAGTTGTCCAGCAAGTCATCTGGTTTCTCTGTCTGGTCACCAACCTCACCATCAATAGCAAAGGTTTCTTCACCGCTGGCTTGCTCCTCGTCAGATTCATCTTCCACACAAGCCAGATAAAACTTTCTGCAATTAATACAAGCCAGGACAACCTTATAAGTATTTGCTTGATTTATTTATATAGTCTTTTTGCAGCACAAAAAAGGTAAAATTGAATATTCCATTAAACTATATAATACTATCTAGAGTTAATTGCATTTTGTTTAGGGAAATCTTTCACCTTGTGAACTTTAAGTCTTCAATTTTGCAGTCAAAAAGTTCACTCATAATATCAAGGTTTCTCTTTTCCAAATCTTCAACTGTRCCTTCTAGATCCTCATGTCCAGATCTATGAATTGCCACCTGTATTGAAAGATATTGAAAAATAACTTAATAATAAATAATTATCAACCATGAATTAAACAAGTCCTTAATTATAATACTATTTGTACCTCTTTCTTTAGCCATCTGTTATCAAGAATTTCTGCTCTGGAATATTTGTCCAAAGAATTGGTAGCTTTCTGCTCAAGCGAACAAATAATTGTTAATAATAGTACAATTTAATTGTCTATAATTGAGATAATTGTTATAAATTTATTACACAGATAATGTTGTTAAGTCATTTCCCAATACTTATTTTATGGTGTTAAAGTTTATCTTATTTCAAAACCTGTTTCTTTAGAAACACTGAAGCAGCTCGCACTAGTTTACCACCATCATTATCATGATGATCATTCATTATTTTCACCTCTGATGCAATGTCCTTCTGTTTGGCCAGTGTACTTTCAGTGTAAGAGCTTATCTCTTCCTTAGCAATCTTCAGACTTCTTTCAAGGTGAGCTGAATGGGTGAGTAAAAATATCAAAAAATAAATTAAACCTTCCTATATTATTTTTGCTTGTGTTTCTCATACCTGCAATATCAGAATGGGAAATTTCCATTTCTTCCAAATCTTGTTTCATAAGTAGGATTTGCTTTGCATGCTCAACACGACCATACTCCTAATAAATAATTATAATATTATTAAGATGTCATTTATCATCTTAAGGAGCATAGTAAATAATGTAGAATTGGGCAAAAAATTCAATTTTTTTCCAATTTTCCAAAGTTTTGCACCTTATATTCCAGTCGCTTTTTTATGTCTCTTCTTACATCCTCAATCTTTTCCTCTATAGATTTAATTTCAAGCTCCTTTTCTATGAATTAAAAATAGTATTGTGGTTGTGTCATAATATTTGTTATGCATTTGAAGTATAACTCACCCCTCCCCTCCTCCCAACACAAGCCTTTGTCACCCCCAAGGCTCACACACACCCACTTTCTGTCACTTTCCCTTGAATTCCTACCTACCCAACTGTTGTACCAGTCCTGAACAGCTTGAAAACGTTACCTTTCATCATTGAATTACCTTCAACAGATTTCTCTTCTGTTCTTTTAACCTCAAACTTGTTGAGCAGTGCCTCTTCAACCTGTTCATGGTTGACTTTGACTATACTTTCTACTTCTTTATCTTTGTCTTTTGCACTTTTTAAGAGATTCTTGATGTGAGTGAGRTGTTCCTCTTTGAGTCGTTTATTCTTCAACATAGATTAGTGAGCAATCAGTCAAGATAAAAGGAAACTATATGGATATCGTCTGTTATAACGAGTGATCAATGTCACATTTAGTGACATTTAAAAACAGTACGCTTACCCTTTCTTTTAGTCGTTCATTTTTATCTTTTAAAACTCTGAGTTCATACAGCATCTCTTCCATTGCCCTCTCTTTGACTTCTATCCTAAAATTAAATAAGCAATTAAAATAGATATCTTACTTCAGTTTCAGAAAAGGACCTATCAAAATAGTATAGATTTCTGTCACTGCTTGAAATAATTCTATATGGCTGAGAGAGAGAGAGAGAGCTCTTTCCTCTTTAGTGTATGACAGGTGATGCTATATGTGACAGTCTTTGCAGGCTAAAAGTAGATTAGACCTTTGCCAAAATCCGTAAGAAGTTCTTTCAAGAGTACTAGACAAAATGTAGTAACCGAAGTGTTGGTGTAGTGGAGAGGTAGCCATGAGAAGGGGGAGGGGGGTGGGGGTGGGGGATAGGGTTGTCCGCACAGATGTTTACTGAGGACAAAATTATCAACAAAATCCTATATTTGTTGATTGCGTCAAGACTTTGRTAGACACATATGATAGTTTGCCATAATACCGAGAAAGTTGAAGGCGTGTTTCAAGATTAGAAGCGTTCACTAGACAAAGTTAAACTTAGGTTCACTTGGTATCCAGTGAAGCCGCCAAGAATTTGAAAAACTACATTTTAAGTAATTAAAGTCARCCCAAGGATACTTGACAAAAACTAGTGATTGACCTTTCACATAGAAATAATAATATTTYCTTACTGAAAATTGAGAATCACTTCTTCAGTTGTCATTTTTGGCTCCTTGGCAGCGGCACTCTTCTTCTTTTTCTTGCCACCTTTCTTCCCCGATTTCTTGCCTTTTCCTTTCTTTGGAGGCATTTTTTCTTCTAATAGTAATAATTCGTAGAAAATACTATCCACTATACAATTATTTGATCATCTTAGAGGGTTTTTATGTCTATTTTCAAGCAAACTTCGTTTACGACCTGCGCCATTTTAGTTTTCAAAACAAATCTCAGACGTTAGGGAAACTGGCACTAGTAATGCGTTACCAAGGGCCACCATATTTCACTTGGCAACAAAAATCTTGTACTGAAAATTGTCCTTTTTTTCTTTATTAATTCTGTTCGCAAATGCAATTATTTTCTAGAACTAGAGTTCATTGCATTTATAATTATTTTCTTTTTGAATGAAGTAAACACTAACTTAATTATTTTCCCCGATTATAAACTGCCTCTTTTCTTTTAAATATTGGAAGAAAATAGAGGAATAACAATTAAAACAAGAGAAAATTAAAAGAAAAAGAAGGAAAAATAGAAAGGATGAAATAAAATGCYCAAAAATAACCATTATAAATCGGAAGTAGCTTGAAGAGTTACGCATGCGCAGTGTAACAGGATGCTTCTACATTTGCTCCAAAATGGCGGCGAAGGGTGATGGAGCAAGACCTGACACAAAAAGACTAGAATTTAAAAAACAAAATCTCGACGACGCTTATGCTGTTCCTGCTAATGTTCTTGAGATTGATGTTATCAATCCAGAGACGAAAGGGATTGGTAAGAAGCGATACACTGACTATGAAGTTCGAATGAGAGTAAGTATAAAACTATTCCACGAGTAGCGCCCGGCCTCCGAMTCTGCAGTATTTTCAAAGTCCAAGCTAACTTCACTTTACTATGATAATAGGATAACTAAAGCATTTATCTATCAGMTTTACGAGTTTTAGACTAGATTTACAAGCGTTTGTCACGGTTTTCAAACTYTTAAATTTGATTAATTAGTTTGCTAAGTGTTCGGTATGTGGCTGGGTACATCCGTGATCTATCCGCCTCATCCAATGAATGAAGATTGTTTACAATCCAAAAAGGCCGTTCAGTCGATACCWAACGGTTAATCATTGATTAAGTAGATCAATTTAAGTACTGTTAACAACATAAATCGAGTTACTACACAACAAAAGGGAATTAAGCTTACTTATGTTTTTGTAAATCGTGCTTTCATGTGATCGATTCTGACGCTGGCCATCACATGCATATCATTACAATAGCTGTTGACGTGATTGTTTACGGTCGTGTGACATGAATTCTAACCTCTAAAGGTATATATCGATACTACTTGAACATGTTACTCTCAAATCCTACCTGAAGATGTCACAAAACTCATAAGAACGGAGTAAGAAGTTTGAATGGATATTTGTATTATTTCAGACCAATCTTCCAGTATTCAAATTAAAGGAGTCAACTGTCAGAAGAAGATACAGAGATTTTGAATGGTTGCGATCGGAACTAGAAAGAGACAGCAAGGTGAACTTAACATAATCCAAGTACAAAGTATTCCTAMCTCAATGAGATCCCATTGCAATTATCCATTTATTTATCCTTTCTTGTCTGGTTTTTTAGATCATAGTACCACCATTACCTGGAAAAGCTTTGAAATTACAGCTGCCTTTCAGAAGTGATGATGGTATCTTCGAGGATGAATTCATAGAAGACAGGCGTCAGGGCTTGGAATCTTTTATTAATAAGTAAGCCAATAGTTTTATTTGGAGATATACAGAGAGCTTTAGAAAGGCAAGCTTGAAACARGAGGGTACCAAATACAGTTGACTCTCTTTGAACAACCAATCTAGTAAGCGACCATCTCCTGTAAGCGACCACCTTTTAAATTTCCGTTATAATTGTTTCCCATATAAACTCTGTAAAAAACCTTTCTCGTAAGCGACCATCTCTTGTAGCGACCACTTTTTCCTGATTCCGAGGTGGTCGCTTACGAGAGAGTTGACTGTACATTCACATGGGTGGGTAAGGGGGGTATACTGGTCCGACCCCTCTCCCCCAAAATCAGGACAGAGGACAGGGTGCTGACTGTTTTGTATTCCTTCACCAGAATTGCAGGTCATCCACTGGCACAGAATGAGAAGTGTTTGCATATGTTCCTTCAGGACCCAATCATCGATAAGAATTATGTRCCTGGAAAAGTGCGAAACACTTAGTAGTAGAATAGATCACCTTCACCTAATCAAATCCAAGAAATCAGAGATTATAGTCACAACGTAATACAGAAAATAAAACAATCACTTAACATTGTGATAAGACCTTGATCAGAAAGTGGAGAATGRTATACTGCAGATTTGTAAAACCAGTTCTGTATTTTATTATATGTTTGTATTAAACTACATTTTTGTAAAACCAAATGT